CAATGAGTTGTCAGTGATATCAATTATCATGGAGATGGTCACTTATCCTAGTTGGTGTGAATCAAGGGAAGTGGAGCAGTTGGATACAACTCTATTTGTCCTTATTTCTGATATACCTCATTCTATCATTAAAACTGATTTTTGGATAGATGGTCTGGAAACTGTTAATTCATTCTTCACACACAAAAGCTATCGTGGGTCCAATGCATGATGTAGCTTAAGAGAAAAACAACTTCAAGAAACTTCTTATCAAGTTTCAGAGGTCAGAGTTGTTTGACATCAAACAACTTATAAAAATAAATAACATCCCACGTTAAATTATCTCAACCTATAGATGAAGGAAAACAATGCACATACATGGACTGAATTTTGTTTTTTTCATCATTGAATAATCATAACTTTCAGAATTCAAGTTGAGGTCAGAAATAACCGTTATTAAATTTATTTCTTTTATGTAACATACTACAAACATTTTATCGACTTTATTTAATAAAGCATAATCAGCAGTTTCTTACTTTAATCACACAAACACTACATTTTACACAGCTTGGCATCATTCTACAATTAGTACAACATAGTATAGATACCTCATAAATTTAATATTGTACTATATATGTCAACAGTGAAACAGTTACTATTTACTACATTTGTGTGATAGAAAACAATGGACAATATTTAAACTGGTTTTCAAACACAAGAGAGAAGATATGAAATAAATATTGCAAAAACTTTAGGGTGAAATAATATTTTCAAGTTGAGAAGACAAAGGTAATTTGATTACACTATATTTTTCATTAAGATAAAAGAATGGTTATAACCTGATACACAGTAGATGCACCCCCATAACGTTGAAGGACTGGAAGACCCCGAGATAAAACTTGGAATAAGGATGCTCGTAGAGCACAGTATTCATCTCTTTTGATCATTCGTAGCTTTTTCCACCCATAGGAAGAAATTATTTGGGCATAACCCTATAGAATTTTAGTTTATTTGAATATATTCAAATTATGCACACACAATACAATTTAATTAAATCATTTTGCATGTTACTACACAACATTCAAGTTTTAAAAACTTGTATACTTTTATTAACTATAAAATATTCTTTTTATATATTTTTTCTAAACATTAAAACATCTCTAATTTGCAAGCAAATGTGTTTACTCACTATGTACTTCTCCGTTGGAGTTAATTATAAACACTTAAGGTGCAAAACAAAACAATGACACTTATATTTAAAGTATGGTTGGCTTGAATGCTACTCAGATATATTTTGTTTTAAAACCAAATTGTGGAGAAACAAATACAGATCTGATGAGAACAAAGTAAAATGAAATGACTGTTATGTGTTAAGTAAAAATAGCTAAGGTCATGGCTGTAGGATGTCAGACAAAAAATTGCATTAGTTATGATTAGCTTCTGATCAACTCAAGTTACCATTAATGAATACAAGTCTATATAATTCTTACTTATAATATTCACCAGTTGGTTACCCTCACTGTTAGTGATATTTTCACATGTAATCCCACAAAATTTGGGCAACTCAAGTAATTTATGTTATTGCTAATTCCATATACCAAGCTAAAGATGAAAAACAATCCTCATAATGAGAAATATAATTATATGTTATATAAATATTAAAACTGTAAAGGGGGGCAGTCCAAAAGTTTCCACTGAGTTATTTTGGAGATTTGTCTTGTTTGTATATAACAGTAATGTATCATTACACTGGTAACAAGAATCCTAAAAATTCAGAGAAATGCCATTTGTGATGTATCACAGTGGTACACAGTAAGCTACATAGGAATAGGTTTCACAGTTGCTAGAGGTTGTCTTAAGTAGTATTATATTAAAGAAGTTTTGGTTAAAAAAACACTATTTGTAGTGATTGAACATTACTGTATATACTCAGTAACTATAAAAACGTGTTATTTGTAGTGATTGAACATTACTGTATATACTCAGTAACTATAAAAACGTGTTATTTGTAGTGATTGAACATTACTGTATATACTCAGTAACTATAAAAACGTGTTATTTGTAGTGATTGAACATTACTGTATATACTCAGTAACTACAAAAACACATGGAAATGTAGTCATGTTATTTGTAGTGGTTGAACATTACTGTATATACTCAGTAACTACAAAAACACATGGAAATGTAGCCATGTTTTTGTAGTGATTGAATATTACTGTATATACTGCCACACATTGTACAGGCAAATGCCTGAAAACTGAAATTATGCTCTACAGCCAAATGGAATAAATAGATGCTAAAGATGTTCTAGTTTGGTGGAAGAAAAAATCAGGAATTTTGTCCTTGATTTTTGAGTTTGCCAGAAACCATTCATTACAACTTCTAGTTGCACTTCCAAATGTGTTCAGGACAATCAGAAATCATATCAGTCCCAGATGCAGCAAACTTAAAGGTGTGTTTTTGACACCATATCAAAGTAAAAGACATAAAATAAGATCTAAATTTATTGCTTAAACTTTTTTCAATTTTAACCCTTTCACTGCTTCCAACCTTTGATCCTTCACTGATAAAAATTTATAACTCATAAAAGTCTCCAGAAGAGACAAACATTTCAACCCATGCATCACAATAACCAGAGACATTTGGAAATACAAGTTTGATTTTTTTGGGTAAATATACAAAATATAATGAAATAAAAACATCTTTATTAGTTAATTATATGTTGTGCCATTATACAATGTGTTTGTAGTTAATTATAATTGTGCCATTACATAACGTGTCTATACCCTAAAAGCTATGTTTCTTAAACGATCTGCCTAAAGATTATTACAGATTCTGATACTCAAGATTCATCAGTCTCTCTCTCTCTCTCTCTTTGTAATTACGTTATCTAAAATATTGTTTATCACACAAAATGATAAACTGTCCAAAAAAGATAATGTATTCAACATTTAGATAAGTTTTTATTTCTTCACACACCACTTTTGTTTTAGTGTAGACCTCATCATACAGGAAAAAGTTGCAAGACGTCATTACGAGTACTACATCATGAATTAGCCCATTTTGTTTAATGGTGCAATAAAATATCTTCTGAAGCATTAAACTAACATAATTATATTGTATTTATATTATTCTATCTTATACATAAGACTTATCTTTGTCCTATACAGCTTTTTCAAATAGTAGAGGCTACAGTACACAATGAGACATCTGGTTTTTGTTATTTCCCCTTTCATGGACTTTGTATCTACAAATGATTACCTTCTCCATTAGGTGTCAAATTACCATATGCAAAAATTGATCTACCAAAGCAATTAGTTGAATAACCTAAACACACACATATGAAAACCCATTAATTCATTACCTTTCCACAGCACAAAAACAATACAAAACTGTTTATATTTGCACTATTTTGAGCACAGTGTAAAACAAGCCTCACAATGTACTAACAAAAATGTTCTTTCAGAAGTTGTTTTAAGCTGCATGTAGTCAAGACTGCTGAAAATAGACTGTTGTCACTGAAATGTCAGAACTTGTCCTTTACAACTGGTTGGTACAAGGTAAAAATATTCTTCTAGTTTTAACCTAAGTTAACCCAACAACGTAATAACATACAAGACGTATACCTTTGTAACACAAATTTATATTTTAGTAATATTTAATTATTTTTAATGATTCACACAGATTTGTTACTTACAATTTCCTCCAACATTTGCAGACAGGTCTGGAAGCCTTGAAGACAGCTTGTTTCTCTATATGGAAGTTCATTACTGAAGTTCCATAGTTTCAACCAAGGGCAGGAATCAGAAAGCCACTCCTCCAATTTCTGTGAATTGGTAATTATGTATTAATTTAACTTGTAATTATGTTGCCAGAGGTTATCTTGTATAGTATTTTACTGAAGAAATGTTTTGGTTACATTTCCATGCATTTTTGTAGTTACTGAGTATATACAGTAATATTCAATCACTACAAAAACATGGCTACATTTCCATGTGTTTTTGTAGTTACTGATTACATGCAGTAATATTCAATCACTACAAATAACATGGCTACATTTCCATGTGTTTTTGTAGTTACTGAGTATATACAGTAATATTCAATCACTACAAATAACACGGCTACATTTCCATGTGTTTTTGTAGTTACTGAGGTGTTCCCTTATAATACAGTTGTTTCTTTCTACTTCTTCCATTTGGCTGTACAGAGTGTGTGGCAGGTGTTCCCTTATAATAGGGTGGTTTTTCTGTTTCGTCCATTTTGCTGTACAGTGTGTTGCAAGTGTTCCCTTATAATATAGTTGTTTCTATTTCTTCCATTTGCCTGTACAATGTGTGGCAGGAGTTCCCTTATAATACGGTGGTTTTTTCTATTTCTTCCATTTGGCTGTAAAGTGTGTGGCAGATGTTCCCTTATAATACAGTTGTTTCTATTTCTTCCAGTTGGCTATACGAGGTGTGGCAGGTTTTCCCTTATAATACAGTTGTTTCTATTTCTTCCATTTGGCTGTACAATGTGTGGCAAGTGTTCCCTTATAATACAGTTGTTTCTATTTCTTCCATTTGGCTGTACAATGTGTGGCAAGTGTTCCCTTATAATACAGTTGTTTCTATTCCTTCCATTTGGCTGTACAATGTGAGGCAGATGTTCCCTTATAATACAGTTGTTTCTATTCCTTCCATTTGGCTGTACAATGTGAGGCAGATGTTCCCTTATAATACAGTTGTTTGTATTTCTTCCATTTGGCTATACAGTGTGTGGCAGATGTTCCCATATAATACAGTTGTTTCTATTCCTTCCATTTGGCTGTACAATGTGAGGCAGATGTTCC